AATGAAATTTCTCAATGGTAGCATCGATCCTACTCCATCATTTTATTTCAATGATTTTCGTAAGAATGGATGGAAGTTTTTTAATTATGTTAAAATATTATGCGATACAGTCAATATAAGGCTCGCTAACATAGTACATTCGTTTCAAGCAAAATATTTTTTCTCTCCTCAACTTATTACTTCACTACAATTAAGTGAAATAATTCAAGATTGGAACGCTTCTCTTCGATCCCAGGTAGAATACGATGATGAAAGAGACCTTAAAAAAATCTTTTCTTATACTTTTGAGCATCTTAATTGGAATTATTTTTGTCGAACTGTACGAAATTCTTTCCTACCTTACGAAGAATATCTATGATAATATTGATCTTCTATAGATGAAAGGAAAAACATAAGTAGATTAATCTGGAAAAGCAAAACAACTTTATTCTAGTGTCACTGAGTGCAAAATATATCATTATATTTTTTTAATCTAGATTTCCTATGTATATTCATCTAAATTTTATTCAATGGAAGCAAGTATTCGACAGAGTGGATCAATTTCACTCGATTTTGTTGAACCTTCTGTGGTCTCCAGCCAGATCAATAGTACATGGACTCTTGAGTATGCGTTAAGTTTCGCCGGTCCCAATGATCAGGTACCGTGCGATTGTAGACAAGTCTATCCTTGTCTAAGACGATGTTTCATCTATAGCGATACTGATATTTGTTTTCAAGTGAATTCGCGACCTTCAATTGTTTTTTGTCTATATTTTGGCTGTTATCTTGTAGATTTTACTTTCTCCACACTAGAATGTTTTTACAATGAACGTTGTGTTCAGATGCTAATTGATCAGCGTCTTTGTGGTAATCAAAATATCTATTTACCAATAGATTTGAGTAATATAACAGCGCTTGATCCAAACACTTTAATCAATTTTAAGCCTCAAGATTCATTAACAGTTTTAATGCTCAGTTCTCTTGTTAATCAATTGATTTATACAGCAAATTATACATTGTACTATGCTGAATGTCAGCCAGAGATATGTACTTATACAATAGATCAGGAATTACATGCTATTGCTCGTATTAACTTAGTTATTGGTCTGATTGGTGGACTAACTATTCTACTTCGTATCTTAGTTCCATCATTCATCAAAATTATCCATTTGTTTTATGGTTTCTGTTATCAGCAAACACAAGGTGAGAGATTTTTTTCTTCCATTATTTAATTATGTTGAATTATTTCAGATGTTCCTTTACGTTGGAGAATGATTTTTATCTATAGTCGAGATAAACTTTATCTGATGAATGTGTACCGAGGAAAAACAGAAGTGGAATATCAAAATTTAGCAACAAGAATCTATATTGTTCTACTTGTTCTATCTTTCGTGATTGTCTCAGTTTTCGTGCGATTTCAGCATCGAACAGTATTCATAAGCGTAGATTCACCAAACGAAACTTACTTTTCATATCTTCACAGTCAATATTCTGATAGTTTATCTTGTCCTTGTACAAATATAGTTATTTCTTATGCAAATGTTTCAACGAACTCATACACATTACATGAAAGCTGCAACCAGACGATTATCCAACGAGATTTCCTGATGTCACTATTACCAACAGACATACCCTGGAAAGTATCTAGTTGGAATCTCATCAAATCACAATTTCTTACCCTATATTTTCGATGTTTTGCCAAAATATCTAGTTTAGACTTCTTAATAAACATCTTTACTGATGCAAGTTTGATATCAGTCGAAGCAATGACCTTACAAACATTTCATCTACAGTTTAATGCTTTTACAATGAGGATATTTAATAATTCGTTGGTCTCATTACTTGATACTTATAAATTCATTTCTGATATGCTTCAAGCAAATCAATTCCATACTCTGTATATGACAAGCTGGAAAACAGAATTTTCGAGCTTAGATGAAAATTATATTCTTCGTAACAGTCCAGTTTCGTTGAACAATGCTACTTGCTTTTGTCCAAGTGGGAAATCCAACTGTACAAAGATCCCTATATATTATGATTCGATCGGTGATCCACATGTACTTCAAGGTAAACTCTTTAATCAAGCTTTCTCATATGCTTTCATAATTGTACTTTGACTCATTGAGATTTTCAAAAAGGTCTATGATTAAAAGATGATAGTTGAAGAACTAATTGCATATTATTGATATTTCATTTATTTAGGCATTGTCGTTGGATGCTCAATCATGGAAGGTCTTTCACAGTCAACATTTGAATGTTTCTATGATGATGTTTGCGTCAATCAACTAAACGAACTGCTTAGCACTTCATTTACTACATTTAATCTTAGTGCAACACAGTTCTCACCAACAACTCCAATTGGATCGATTCTAGATGAGAATTCCATAATATCAATCGATTTATCAGCGAATTATTCTTTATATTTTCAAAGATGTGCTCCATTAACATGTCAATATCATTATATTGAACAAAATGGTGTTGTTTACATATTCACAACACTGCTTGGATTGTATGGTGGATTAACTGCAGGTCTACATTTTTTTGTATGGCATTTATTGTCTCTTTACCGAGTCATAGTCAAGCGTAGTTCATGTTTGTTGCAACGCGTACATCCTTCATCTTCAACTTGAATGAGCTATCTATGATATGAACAACGCTTCTTATTAAACTCATTAAAAATAATGTCAATTTTCAATGTTGTATATTTTCTCTTGCTTTTGTCAAGCATAAAATTAAGCGATCAAGATTACTGCCGTTGCTTTGCTTTACTTTGCTTTTATTCAATTTATTTTTCATGGAAAAATTAATTGTCTTCATTCAATAAGAAAACTTATTTGTATTTTAGCTTACTATTGTACTCAATATCCATCGACATTACTTAGAATAAGATATCAGTAGTATTCACCAAACTGAGATAATCATTAGATGATTGTACGAACATAATAATTTGCAATAGAATATATTATTTATTGAATAATCGAAGATGATGAATAAGTATAGTATTTTTATTTATATATTCTAGCTCATCATATGATATTCGGCTTAACGGGCCAATATTACATACAAATTCATCAGTCATCGCATATATTGTTGATTAATTTATTCATTATTAATCTATTTAATTTAACTTCTTATATATCGATGTGAAATGATGTATATAAGAATATTATGATCGCAAAGTTTTATCTGAAATATCCAAATAAATAACAAGATTCGTTAATAGGACTATTGATTCTCTTTTCAATTCATCGTTATATTATTGTTTCGTTATTTTATTGCCACCATCAAGTCAATGTTTTTTCTTTGTTGTATGCCATGAATGATAAGAGAGAATTAGTCGAACGAAAATTAGCCACCAATAATTGGTCGCTATAAAATTTGGCCGTTAGGAAGATTCGTTGTACAGCTAAGATTTGAACTCTTCGCCTTGATTTACCCTAAGAAAGTCGTTTTTCCTATAACTTGGTTTCTATCGGTCATTGCTCAACCAATGGTATTTCGAGGCAAGTAGAGTACAGATTCAGGTTCTCCGCTCCAGAAAACCTCGAAGTATCATCTCTGTGAACGGAAGATAGAGCTCTAATTGTGGATCAATTAGAGCATGGATAAAAACAACCATTTTCCGTTTAATTATCTTTGCAATAGGTGAGCTAACCTTCTTATTTCTTTATGTTTTATTTGACTATGAGAGAAAAAGTTTTTTACGAAAGCGGTGACAGGTCGATCTTCACATAGGAAAACATAGGGAATAATGACTATTTTACCAATAACTCGGCAATGGTTCGGTCAATCATTCTCATCTGCGAACTTAACCGAGATATTGTTGAGACTAAACTGTATAGAACATTTCATCGCAATCAGACTCTCCTTTCAAAAGTTATCGTGTAAACGGTCGGCAGGGCGGGCAGATACACTGACCGATTCTAGAGTGTACTCACTTTTTGAGTATATAAAAAATGTTCACTCATAAAATTTAATCATCGATTATTTATGATTTACATTTCAATAAAATAAATATTAATACTTATTGAAATATTTTTGATTGATGTTGCCATGCTTTTTCAAGAATATTAAAGAAAAACCTACTTGCACTATCAAATATTTTTAATTATTTTAAATTTTCATCACATAAAATTTCACCAATTATTGTATAAATACACCTAAATGCATTTTATCACAAAGTAAGATTTTAACAATAGTTAATAATGTATTTGTTAGTAAAATTTTTGAACGTAAAAACCAAAGACAATCTCCATTTTGTGTTATAATTAATAAACGAAATAAAATTATATTTAAAAGAATTGTTTGATTATTTGATCGTTATATCTTAATTGATTGATAAATTGGTTTATAATCAATAATGTGAATAAGTGCATCGATATATTCACAAACTGTTAATTCAGTTGGAAAAATAATTTTTATGTCTATACCTTTTTCTTCTCTCCATCCTCAACAAGCAGAGAAAAGAGCTGTTAGAGAAGTAATACATCTTAATAATTCTATACTCCAGGATTCTATAGTATAAGTATGAAGAAGAATTATTTGTACATAATCAATATCAAAATGATGGATTAATTCTTCAGAAAGATAAGAAAAATCTGGACCTTTTACAAATAAATATACACCTAAAAAAAATGAACATGTTTTAATATAAAATAATTGTTTAGCAGTAAATATCGATTGTGATAATGGTGATTGACGAAGTTGATTTAAATAGAATTTATATTGATCAGTCATAACATAATTACGTGCTATATAATGATTGATATGAATGATAATAGTGGATATTTCAAATTCAGGATGAACATTTAAGAAACTAGAGAGATTATCATACCATTGACTAACTATTCAAATACATGGATCATTTTCATTATTTAGTTTTTCAAATCTTTCGAATATAGTATTAATACATTCAATTGTTTCAGGAAAAAGTAATGAACCTTTCATATTAGTTTCAATATCTTCATAATTAAAAATTAAATTTTTATTAAATAATGCAAGTATACGAAATAATTCTACATAATTTGAGTTTTTGATCCATTGATCAGAATTTTGACTAAGTAATTGTTATCCCCAATCTTTAAGCATAAGTATTGATTGATAGAATTGTGAAATAAATGATGATAATAATTCAGAATTTTGTTTTTCTAATATGTAGTTTATTTCACCAAGATTATTATTGTATGATGAAGATATTTGAAGTGTAGGAATAAGTTGCTCAAAATTATTTTTCATTGTTAATGTTTACAATATTTTTTTTGTGAAACACGATCTGAAAGGAGTGTTGAAGTGTTTAGGGGTAGAAATTTGGACCCCCCCCCCCCCCACAGACCGTGACAGAGAAATTCTATACCCATCACAGACCGTGACAGAGAACCTCTAGACCCATCACAGACCGTGACAGAGAATCCAAAAGACCATCACAGACCGTGACAGAGAATCCCAGAGACCATCACAGACCGTGACAGAGAACCCCAGAGACCATCACAGACCGTGACAGAGAACCTCTGGACCCATCACAGACCGTGATAGAGAACCCCAAAGGCCATCACAGACCGTGACAGAGAACCCCAGAGACCATCACAGACCGTGACAGAGAACCTTCGGACGCATCACAGACCGTGACAGAGGAAACGAATACCCATCACAGACCATAACAGAGAAACCCTAATACCCACCACAGACCGTGACAGAGAACCCCAAAGGCCATCACAGACCGTGACAGAGAACCTCTGGACCCGTCACAGACCGTGATATAGAACCCCAAAGGCCATCACAGACCGTGACAGAGAACCTTCGGACCCATCACAGACCGTGACAGATAAGCTCCAGGGATCATCATAGACTGTGAAAGAAGAATTCAAGGAAGCGTCAGAGATAATGCATAACTAACATATGATTGGAGCATATATGAGGTATTATCCTGTTTCAGTTCTATAATGTAAAGTAAGCCACGATGAAGAAATGTACACCAATATGCATAAAAAAGAACAATTTTTATAAGATTGGCAACAGCAGGTACATCGTGTTTCACATTTTTAATTCCGCAAGGGATTGCGCTAACAGCTTTTTCTATTGCATATATCTAGTG